GTTCTCCAGATTTCTTGGCACAACTTGGTGAGCACATCCAGGGCAGCATCTGTTAACTGAAATATGCATCGGGCCCTACAGAATTTTAAAGACACACCCAACAAATGCTATTGACTATGATAAACCAGGTATTCCCTCTACCCTTGGGCCCTTGTTGGCTAAAAACGGGCAAGCACGAGTCCAACCAGCTGGCTGACACTCACTTTCAAATAATAATTCTGACATATTTACTTTCTAAACATTCTGAAAAGAAACCTTTAAAAACTCATTTCATTTTCCCTTGGCTCCAGACATATATTTGAAGGTAATAGATGCAAGTCTGACCACTTTGGAAATATAATCAATGGCACAGTCATTAACTGGGCAAATCGCTGGTGAGGGAAAAATCACCATTTCTTCTCTTCTCAGACCAACTGAACGTGAGCGAACAGAAAGGCTGATTAAAACCAAACTGAGGGAGATTATGATGCAGAAGGATTTGGAGAACATCACATCCAAAGAGGTAAGGAACCTTGAGCTCTCTTTGGTGGAGGATTTGGGGATGGAAAAGCAGTAATTGTGGGAGGAGAGATGATATGTGGTTGAACATGTGGAGAGGTTTTACAGGGTTTAGTAGTACAGTATTCCATCTTTGTTTCAGATAAGAACAGAGTTGGAGATGCAAATGGTGTGCAATCTGCGGGAATTCAAAGAATTCATAGACAATGAAATGATAGTGATCCTTGGTCAGATGGATAGCCCTACACAGATCTTTGAGCACGTCTTCTTGGTAAGTCTGAAACCCACTTTATTAGCTGAAGCCAGCTGTTACAACAGGATTTCATTTAAATTCTGTTAAAAACAAAGGTGATTTTTTTAAGTGATAAAAACTAAAGCTCATCACTCCCTAATCTTTTTACTGCACTTTACATTATCTGTGCTCTTAAGATCATTTTTATCTATTGTACGATAGAAGTGTTATGGTGTACTACTGCTCAGTTTTGCCAGTTCCTCCTTCAGTGATTTCATGAAAATCGATCATAGTCAGAGTATATCCACCAAAGACATTGGCAGATACTACCAGTTGGTCTCCCCGCCGCCCCTCTCCCATCTCCCCATAGAATGGCTTGTTAAATGTCCTTTCCTCTTCAGAATAGTGTCCTATGTTTTCCACAACAAAACCAAAAAGTGAGTGTCTTTAAAGAACACAAATCTATTTCCTCACTCTTCTGGAATCTTTATGAAGGACAAATCCAGGATACTCAGCAGAAATGTGATCTCTGTTGGCTCTATAGAAAGAGCCAACATTTCTTGTCTCATACCTATACAGATTTAACTGATAATATCTTAACAGATAAACTCTATTTCTCCAAACAAGGTCATATTCTCTTGGGCTTAGAACCTCAATGTAACAACCATTAAAGTGGAAAATAGACCAGTCGTAATTGTTTGTATGGTGAACCAAAAAAAAAATCTGACCTTTGAGGTCACTTTTTTCAGATACTCTGAATGAGTCTGATTTATATATCTGAGCAAACTAGAAGGAAACTACTTCTAACTGAAAGACTGCTAGACTTTGAAGCATTTGAAACCTAGGTCCATTTTAAATGCTCCCAAGTCCTTGTATGGTTACCAAAAAGTCAGTGACTTAAAATTGCTCTTCATGGTTCCTGATCATCCAGTGAGTGACCTGTAATTAGCTCAAGGAGACCTCTCTGCCAGATGGATTAGAAAAGCTTCTAAAATCCCAAGACCTATTTTCTTCCCAAATGTTAGAGAGTTCTCATTTCTATCTGTACATGGTGGGAACAAGGTTAAGAGGGATAATTAAAATCAGTGGGGAACACCAGAACCTTGTTTTTGTTTCCTCTTCCCACACACTTTGACCAGAAATGCTGGCAAGAAACTAAATTGATGGGTTTGAATTTCACTTCCTTTCTCTGGTGAGGACATTTGTGAGCTGTGACATGATTAGAAGCTGAGAAACCAGAGAGAAGAGGAATAAATGCACAGGACTAGTGTGGACCATCTCACCCTGATATTCAGGAGTTTATCTCAGCAGCCATTCAGACTCCCTCAGAGCCACTGAAGGCTCATTCCCTGATTTAATTTGTTGATGCCCTAGAGTATGTGTGTTCTTAGGGTGATTTCACAGTGGTGTGATTCGTCAGGTATGGCTATAAAATTACACAAGGAAAATATTTGAGCTGGAAGGGGAATTTCTTTTCCACTCCTTTAACTTAACCAACATGTATTACAAACTTAGTGTAAACCCCACTACAAAATGGACATTGAGCTTTCCCTTTGTAACGCGTCTGGCTTTGTTGTCTTTTGTATATACTTTTCTCAGAGTTCAGTTATTCTGTGTTCCTGTTTCATTAGGAGAAACCTTTGTGTTTTCTATGGAACACTTACAGGTTGCTCATTCAAATGAACCCTACCCCTGACTGACTCCATGCAGCCCAATTTTTATGAAGGACAAATGCCTGTAGCCATAGAGCTCATGTTAGAAGGGGTATTATGGTTATCACAAGAGTCCAGAATTAAGGTTGCATAGTATACCAATGAAAGAATTTTTCTTTTACTTTTCAAAGAGAGGAGTGAATTGCAGGGGAGAGGGCTGGGCAGGGAGAAAAGTGCAACAATGAAAGAATGGAAATTCAAAATCTCTGTAAATGTTCATTAAAATTAATAAAATAAAATTTTAAAAAAGAAAGGATCTAACACTGAAAACTTGGCAGTTACTTTTCTCTTATGCTGGTTTTCCTACTATATGTATGAATATAGCAAATACAGTCCATTTCTCACTCATCAACGTGTTTCATTCAGGTTGAGTTCAATATCTCTGATGTTACACCCTGAAGAGCTATCTCAGCCATATCCCATCCTCAGATAATATATTTTAGGGCATAGTATTGTTAGTTGCTCTTGAGTTGATTTCAACTTGCAATGATTCCAGGCAACAGGAGAACTGCCCTGTACTGTTCTCTTGTCTATAGTCTTTACAGAAGCGAATAACAGAGGTTTTCCTCCCACAGAACCACTGGGTAGCTTCAAACCACCAACCTCTTGGTTAGCAGCCAAGCATTTAATCGCCTGTATCACCAGGGCTCCTAATTTCATCAGCACTCTAAACAAAATGATGTCCATGACCATGAGCTCAAACATAGCAATGATTGTGAAGATGGTGCAGGACCCAGCAGTGTTTTGTTCTGTTACCCACAGGGCCAGAACCATTCATCAGCACCTAATATCAGCAGCAAAGCAAAAATAGCCAATCTACTTCCCCTGAAATTACATTTCCTAATCAGTTATCACTGCACTTGAGTATGCCAGTGCACTCACCCTATAAGCTCCTGATTGCCAGGAATATGCTAATGTCTTGCATATTTTCCTGAGATATATGTATATTATGCTGATTACAGAAAATGTTAAAAGATAATAACAATCATCACTAAGACCTATATTCACTATTGTCTTTTCTGTATAATTTTTCTTTTTTAACATTATTTTTAATTGCTATTTTAACAAAAGTTTACAGAAAACTTGGATTTCCATTCATTTGTTGTTGCACATTTTCCTCCCTATCCCCTCCAGTTTGCTTTTCTCTTTAAAAAGATTCTTTCATTGTCACACAATTTTCTCCCTCCCTCCGCCTTCCAGTCTGCTTTGCTATGCACCTCTTATTCTGGACTGTTGTCATGCAAATGATACCAAATCATATATTTCTTTTAGACAGTTCTTCATCTATTTAAATGCAGTGTTCATTATTTATCTCCTCTTTTCTATTTTTTCTCTCCCTAACCCCCAGTCAGTCCTGTTTCAAAACAGTGGCATTATGCAGTATTTGTCCTTTTGTGACTGAGATATTTCACTCAGCATTATGTCCTCCAGAGTCACCCATTTTGTGTATAATATTTGAAGAGTTTCCTTTTTCCAGTGCTACGTAGTATTCCATTGTGTGAATATACCACAGCTTCTCTATCCTTTCATTTGTTTATGGACACTTGAGTTGCTTCCATCTCTTTACTGTTATGAACAATGCAGCAATAAACATGGGTGTGCCTGTATCTGTTTGGATGGCAGTTCTGATTTCTTCAGGATATATTCCCAGTAGTGTAATTGCTGAGCCAAATGGTATTTCTATATCCAGCTTTTTGAGAAAGTGCCATGCTGCCTTCCATAGTGGTTGCACCATTTTACACTCCCACCAACAGTGATTAAGGGTTCCAGTTTCTCCACAACCTCACCAGCATTTATTTTGTTTGCTGCTCTGTTGAACTTTGCTATTGTTACTGGAGTAACATGTTATCTTATAGTTGTTTTGATTTGCATCTCTCTTAGAGCTAGGGATTTTAAACATTTCTTCATGTATTTGTTGGCCATCTGAATGTCGTCTTTGGTGAAGTGTCTGTTCATATCCTTTGCCCATTTTGTGATTGGGTTGTCTGCCTTTATCTCCTTGAGGTTCTGGAGTATTCTAGATGTACGTCCTTTATGAGACATGTCATTACCAAATTTTTTTTTTCTATTCTGTGGCTTTCCTTTTTATTTATGCTGTTTTTGGATGTGACTTCTTTCCTTTTTTTTAAATATGTATTTGTGCACATACTCTTTTTTAACAAAGGAAAATTGACTCCACTTTAGTTAGAACTCTTGTAGAGCATAGGTGTGCTCTTGGCCATTGTGAATATTTTTCTTATTTGAGCAGAAGACTTTCAAACTGGAGAATCCTGACATTGAACTCGTCTATCTTAACAAAATTGGGTCAACAGATTGAGTGCTTTCTTCTGCTTGTTCCTTGGTAGCTTCTTCCCTTTGTTGGCACCATCATGTCCTATTCCCACAACCCTGTCTTTTCTCCAGTGAGTCTCAGCCCTGCTGGCTCTCTCAGCAGTTGACATGGAAAAAGAGATCTCATCCTAGCTGTAAGTAGTGGTATTAGTTTTCTGCACAGTCATGCCATCTTCTGCATAGCTGCAATGCCTGAAGCTCAACCAGATTCTGTAAAGAGAGACAGCAGGATTTCACCTTCTCTTTGGAAGACTGACTGATCTGCTCTGCTCTGCAGTGTGCTGTGCACAGACCTCTTTTTATTTGGAAAGTTACCAGACTGGTATGGAAGAGGGAAAGCACAGAGCACAGTTTAAAGAAAATCCACAGGAAGAAGAGAGCATTGATTACAAACAAGTGTATTTGCAGGAAAAGAAGTTCCTGAACACTCTTTAAGAGTATACTGCTTCACTGAACTAGAACCCTTTATTCAACTAGATATTCCTATCAACAGCTCTCCTGGAAGCAGGCTGTCTCATATGGTTAAAAAAACTACATTTGAACAGAGACTTTGCAGGAAGGCCAGCAGCTTTCTAATTAAACAAGGGAAACACAGTAGCATTGAGCAAACAACCAGTAATTCTCTCTTTTATAAGGCAGAATTTTACTTTTGATTGTTGTCCTTTTCAAGATTTGCCATCAGAGATAATCCTTTGATAATGATGTGTCTTTTTCAAAGGAAATATTCAGACACAGATTAATTCTTTTTACTATGGATGCAAGGAACTGGAGAGTCTGTGAAAAGATGAATGAGACAGTAATCAAATAATCTGTTTGATTACTCATATTCCTGAGATTTTTTCCTTGACCTGGAAATGGAAAAGTGCTTGGTGACACAGCATCAAGGGTACAGGTGTGGTTTGATGGCGATACGGACAGAGATACCACGCCTGGAATCTAGATCAAATTATATTTATCTTAGCAGAACTCTTCCTCCAGTACAGATCTTTCTTATTT